GGGAAGGAGCAGCGACGTTCCCATTAATGACTTCAAAGGTGTCGCAGGAAGGGAGGTGGGTTGGACATGTTTTGCCCCAGAGTTTCCCTTTCCCTTGGGCTGCCGGAGTGGGGGGAGGAGGTGGAAGCAGGGCTGTGTATCCACCAGCTGTGTATCCACCTCTTGTCTTCGAGCCCTCCTGGTGACTCGTGTTGGCAGCACACTGAGTTTTCCACGTGATCATTTTATTTTTGTTCTTGGTGGAAACAGAAGTTCATTAGATCATGGTGCAAGTATGTGAAAGTCTACAGGGGCTTGATCAGGATCATCTAAAACCACAACCTCTGCCTCTGTAATTCTTTATTGATCCCAGTTGCTGGTTTTAGTGCTGTGTTCTGCTGTTCAGTTGTTAGTTTTAACAACAGCAGCCAGGTTATTGTTGTAATTTAAATGTAAATAGTTTTAATAATCCCATCTGTTTCCTTTTCTGAGTGCCTTTTCCTTGCTTTAAACTGAACAACCATAGTGATTTTCCCCTCCCACATTCCAAGGAAGGGTTGCAAGGCCTTTTCCTGAGTGATGACCCTTTTTGGAGAGCAGTTGTGGTGGAGGATGCCGAAGAGCCCTTTGAATTGGGAGGGAGTGTGAGCAGATCAGCTGGCTGGCTGCCAGGAGCTCTGGAGTGTGAAACCCTGCTCCTGGTCTGTCCCTGGAGCTCCCTGGAGCTCGGGGCTGTGCTGGTTCTACTCAAGGTGCAGGTGATGGCATTTGCCCGGGGCACGAGGGGGCACTGCCAAACTTCTGCCTGGGCTCAAAGGGATCCCTCGGGCATGGTTTCCCTGAGGAGCCCCTTGTGGGGTTCAGCTAATGGAGGCAGGGCAGGCACAATCAAATCCTCACCGTATCCAGTGGGAGATCCATGGAGACCCAGTGGTCTCCGGCCTGTTCCAAGCCTGTGCTGGTCTGTCTAGTTTGATAAGTGATCATGTAAACAGAGTGGGGAGAGCCCTTCCAAACTGGCACCTCGAACTGGTAGGTTTGATCTCTACCTACTTTAATTTCTTTTGCACTTTGCAGATAATAAAACTGATATTTACCCGGGTTTTGCAAAGCTGATGTGAGCATCAGCTGATGATCTTTAACTGGCACTGTCGGGTAAAAAGATAAAGGGTAGGTAGATAGAAGCACACACTCAGGAGTTAGAGCTTCTGGCCACAGCTGTCAGCAGTGACTGACACGTTCATCTCCTGTCCCCAAGGACCCCACTTAATGACGGCTCCGAATTTTAAAGTATTAACTCGTTGCCTGTAAGTAAAGTCCACGGGAGTGAGATTTACCTGAACAAGAAATACTGTGGCCAACTGCTCCTGGGATCCTGAAACAGAGTGGAGGTGACATTAATGAGTTGTTTTTGCTGGGGGTTAAAGGGAGGACAGAGGATCTATAAGAGGGCAGATAGTGAGATAACAGAAGGAAGGAGGCTGTTGTGTGTTAATGAGGACAGTGGTCCAGATAACGATCTGCCCGTCTAATCATCAGTCTCAACTCCCCCCCTTGTCTGACTCCAAAATCCTAAAAGCAAGTGTAGGTCACCTTGTTTAGTAGCTAGAGAACAGAGAAATTGGGGTAGGTGGACTTGTGAGGGGAAGCAACCCAAGGGGACAGCAAACTGAGCAGTAAGGCCACGCCGGGCTGGAGCCTGGTGGTGCTGGTTGTGCAGAGAGGTTTTGACTTACACACACTAACGTGGCACTTTGTCTCGCTGTCAGCGAGCCAAATAACAGATGTGTGTGACTGCTGCTGCTGCTGCTGCTGGGAGGGCAGCTTTCCACTCATTTCCATGAACTGTAATGTCCCTGTAAAGCCACAGAATATATAGAAGGGCACTGAGGTTTTTAAAAGAAAAACAGCTGGATTCTTTTGGGCCAGCTGGTTTTAAGCAGGCAACTTGTTTCTTTAACCTTGACCCTCAGCCGTTTGCCAGTGTTGTGCCAGGAGCTGATGGTTTGAGGAGGAACATAGTCAAGGCACTGTGGGAGTGCCCTGGGTTTGGGAGCCCCAGGCTCCCTGAGGAAGTGAGGGCTCAGGTCTGGCAGTGGGATGGCTTGTTGTGCTGAGGCTCACCCCTTGTTGCAGGTGGAGTCCTGTGTGACAGCCTGGGGGTCAGGGAATGAATGGGATCTGAGGGGCTTGTCAGAAGCTGAGCAAGGGGAAGTGACAGTGCCTTTGAAATCAAAAAGAAAACTAATTTTTACCCACTGTTGCAGTTTTAATCAACCCTCCTTGTCTACTGTCTGCTCCTTCCCAACTAAATTCACCCTTCTCCTGATTAGATATCTATATAGACTGTCTCTAGAGACACTGAAGAGAGAAAGGTAGTTCCAGATTTGTGTCATTCCTATTAAACACTCGACTTAGGGGGGATTATCCACTGGAGGCGCTTTAGGAGGTGAATATCAGACACAATTGTTACCTAACAACATGCTTATGGTTGCACTGGGTTCAGATAACGTTCAGTTTCTGAGGGATTTCAAATATTTCTATTGCTCTTAAACCTAATTAAGCAAATCAAGGTTCTGAAGGAAGTTGAGAGCCAGGAGACTTTCCCTGACTTACAGTTTTACACACCTCCTTCTATTCCTGAGGTGCCCAAAACTCACAAATTCCTCGTGTGACAGTGAGATGAGGAAATGCAGCAGCCCATCTCTGGCTTGGACAGTTCTCTGTAAGGAAATTCATGCTGTTTTAAAAAGCTCTGTATTCCAGTGCTCTGGAGCCTTTTCCACGATTCCTAGATCTATAAAAACTCCTGTACCCAGAGCTGCCTCTCCCTGCAGGAGCTCTGGCTTTGTGGGGTGCTCAGCCAGGGCAGCTCAGAGGCTTCAGAGGTTCCTGAGCATGGGAAGGCAGCAGCACTTGCTGTGTGTGGCACAGTGAGCTGGAGCCTCTGCCAGCGCTGCTGTTGCAGAGTCATCCAGGGAATGCTTTGTTCCACGACTGGCATAAATCTCCCTCTAACTGCGATAGCATCTTTGGGTAATTGTCACAAATACACAGAAGGACTCTCCTTCCCCTCCCTCCTCCCTGCTGTTTGTTAAACAAGGCCGGTATTTAACCATGAACTGTGACCCAAAGCACAATCGCACCGCAGAGGTAGAGCTTTTTCCCTAGGGTTTAATCCTTGGATTTGCAGTGAGTGCCGTGCTGCCATCACTCTGACCAGCGTGGATGTGGTCTCTCAGGGGCTGAGGAGCTCCCCGGGCTGCAGGAGATGAGCCGGGCAGGGAGGGATGATGATCATTAGGGAGTTTTCCCTGCCAGCCACGCTAGGGCACTGTTCCCTCTGGTAACGCCTGTACTTGTGGAACTGATAGCACAGTGCAGACAAAAAGAGCATCCCTTCAAAAAATTGTATCTAGACATAAAGCCAGAAAACAAAAGAAGAAGGATGTTGTGGTAGTGGCTAACAGTTGACAGAATTATGTATTTTAGAGGCAGGATGTATTTTAATGGAGCCGTTTGTGCCTCAGACTTGGGTTTTATCTGAGGTGCAGAACCGAGGCCAGAACATCAGGAAAATTGCCAGAAACAAGGCAGGAAAAGAGCATTAGCAGGGAAACCAAAAGGAAAAGGCAGATCTTAGATCCTGAGGAAGAAAAGCTGCAGAATTTGTCTAATTAAGGAATGTAGAACTAGACCGGGTGAGCTGAGGACATTGATTTGCACATCAGGAGAAAGGAGAAGAGGCCTCACAAAAATAAAGTCAGAGATGCAGGATGAAAACCAGGACAGAAGCATGGGGAATGGGATCGGAAGGGCTCAGAGGGAGGGGTAGTGGTAAAGTCACATGCTGTGGACAGGTCAAGGATGGTAAAGACTAGTATAGGTCCTGATGCTCAAGTGAAAATTTGTATTGCCTGGTGAGAGCCGTTGCAGTGGGGTGAAGGAGACCTGGAACTACGTAGGAGGGACTCAAGCACAGAGCTGAAGGATCAGAGTTCATAGCACCTTTATCCTGGAAATCCTGGAAAAATACATAGCTGAGAATACAATTACCTAAGGAATTATTGCAAAATTGCTGCAGCTACAGTTAGCAGAATCTGACTCCCTCTTTTTAAGAAGGTGGGTAGATGGATGGATGGATGGATGGAGTGGATTTGGCTTTGGAACTCACCCCTTTTGCTTCCTGCTGTGCTCGTATTGGTCATGATGAAAAAATTGGCTTTGTCTTCAGTGGAAACCTTCATACACGTTAATGTTTTTTAAATCATGGATCGTGCAGATCCTAATATGGGCACTAAAAACAAAGGCTGTACAAATAAATACTGGGAAAGGACCCACTGCTTCCTGAAGACCGATAGCCAGATTTCTTTCTGCATGCCTGTTGCATCCTGTTGATGATCCGACACTTTTTCCCCAGTAATGTCCAAGACACATACTGCATTAATCAGATAATGTAACTTTCCATGATCCAGCCCTAAGAAATGTAATTTAAACTTGTTTTCCCTCCCTCTTGGACTCCCTGTGACAACTGACTTTTTCCTAATGGTTTCTCCTCCCCAAGAAATCTGGCAAAAGTTGTTATATTGTTCTGAGAGCAACGTTTGTGGTGTGATTAATGTGTGATTAACTACCTGGAGCTTAATAAAGGCCTTGCTCTTTCCAAGGCTTATCCGTGATCCATACTGCACTTGAACTGGGTCTTGTGAAAGCCAGTGGGAGTATGGACACCAGTACAGTTAAATCCACATAAGTTTGAAGGATTTGGGTACCCAAGGGTGGTACCCAAAACCAGCCTTACGCACAAACGACCGCACGTTTCCTTAGCTTTGCAATGACTGCATGGAAATTAATGGGAGCTTTGGATGCTTGGTGCTAATATAAAAAACCAAAAAGGAATATAATCTTGAGTAGTGCAATAATGTGTTATTAATTATATCCCACTCCCTCCTGGTGTGGTACTTTCCCCATACTGTATCACATCAGATACACCTGAAGGCAGCTTGTCTCTTTTGTTGTAGTTGCAGGTGGAACTTGATCAGGAATATCAAGACAAATTCAAAAGACTGCCTTTGGAAATTCTGGAGTTCGTACAGGAAGCCATGAAAGGGAAAATCAGTGAAGATGGAGACCACAGTTCTGCCCCCTCTTCCCTGGCATCCGACAGTGGAAAATCCAATCATAAACCTCCGCAAAGCGAAGAGGAATTGGAAGAAGAGAATCCAGAGAAAGTGTTTGATACTACTTTTTAACTGCCCCAGAAACAATATGGGTGTGCCAGGGCACACCGCTCCCAGCTGCCCGGCTCCGCTCTCCCGGGGGGAGCTGCCACCGCAGCGCTTCGGGAGGCAGGAGGAATCTGCATTCGAGTGCACATTTCCCCAAAGGAACACTTTATGAAAAGTATCGTGCAAAGGTCTTCATTCTCATTCTTCATCTGATTGTTATTCTGAAGCGTAGTGCAGTTGCAATGGGAAAATTAATATGTTAACCACCTTCTCCTCTTTATTTTTCTTTTGGTTTTTTTGGCCCAGTTTACAATGGGTAATTTTCTGGCCATGTTCACTGTTAAGAATGTTTAATGAAGACCAATGTATTGTACAGAGACAAATGTGTGCAGATTTCCTTTTGAAGTGCCAGTGCAAAGTGCTCCAAACTAATAGAGATCCCGGAGAATATTATAACAGTACTTAATCATATTTGTTTCCTTCTTTATAACTGCACCTTGACAGCTGTACCATCATTTTACATTTGCACTGAAACATTTAATCCTTTTTAGCTTTGCAAGCACTGGTGGCTTGCTGTCTTGATATTGTTGTGTTTATCACATGGAGAGACATGTATTTGCTGCTGAAAATCCTTGGAACTGTGGGGAGAAGAGGAAAACGGAGAGAAGAACTCTGCGTGGAGGTTGTCGGTGTCTGTGTACCTCTGTGTTTGTTACACTGTGTGAGTGCATATATGTTTGTATATATATATATATATATATAGCTATATGTGCACACACATCTGTCTATATACACACACACAGCATGTTTCTATTTGAAGTTGATGTGGTCTCCTGGCCAAATGAGATGTTTCAGGGATGCGTGAGTAGAGCGAATCTTTCTGAAAGCCGACATCTGGGTTATACTGCTATAGAATAATCATTGGATCATAGAATTCTTTTTGTGGTGTTAGTGTTGTAAATCAAAGTAGTTTTAGAATATAAATTTGATATATATTTTGCAGACTCAGAAGTATTGATTTTAAGTATCATATTTTAAGCTTACTGAATTTGATAGGATTATGAAATGTTTAGGACTACAGTATTTGAAATCTTAACAGAATCTTCCATTATTTTTAAGACTGAGGTTCAGTTTTACTGAGGTCTGAAATTTAAAAGCAAAATATAAAAAACCTGATCACTGTTATTTAAAAATGTATATTAATCCGTTGAACTGACTTGTTAAAATAAGAACAATCAAGGTGAGTGTACTGTGTGATAATGCGTGAGAGAAGTAACAGCACATTCTGAGAAACTTATACCAGGCAACAGAGAGACATTGTGAAAGTCAGGATATTTGAAAAGGTAAGGAAATGCTGTTCTCTGGATTCCCATACTGACAGGAACAGGAATTACGAGACGTGTCAGACAGATTATTTGTACCCAAGCCAATGCAGTCCTTCCCCTCGGCCTTAGGGCAAAGGAGAAACCAGCTCAGAAGACACAGATTTGCCTCAAGACGCTTGATCCTGCAAACTCATGTTTTCCTGGGCACCCCTGGGCTCAGGAATTGTTTGGGGAGGAACGTTCACACTCACGTTTGCAAGATCGGGGCCTTACTTAGTATTGAAAAGCAATCGGAGAAAGCAATCGATTACATGGGGAGGCATTTTAACACAGTGTAACAGTTAAGTTACCTTACTTCCAATTCCCTCAGGATTTTAGTACTTAAACTAACTTATTTTATTTAAATTTAAGCAATAAAATACAAATCGAGCTTAAGTTTTCAGTTAAATAATGGTGTATATATATATAAGTTCAAATCTTGGAAAACAAACAGTATTTTGGTGTTTCTTTTTTAAACTCAAGAGCAGAAAGAAAGAAAAATTGCACATTGTTTGGAGATCGTATTTTGAATTAAACTGCTCTGGTTTATGATGATGAAATCAGTGCACATGAAATTCAAAAATCTGACTTTCATCTTAAAGCTAGGAAAGGTGAATCCTCTGTTAACCCTTGTTTTGCACTTTGAAATCAATCTTAATCACTCATTGAAAACGTAGAGAGTCGAGATGTAATGCTGCATTTTATAAAGTACAAATGACATATTGCCTAAATTATTAAAAGAGTAAACTGATAGCAGTGTTCACACTAAAACTGAAGGCTATTGCATTATAGAAACAGTTGTACAGAACAGGCTTCGTGGTAAAATCTTGGCTCCTTTGGATCCCAGTGCTACGCTCCCGTGGACTTCAGCGGAGCCAGGACCTCACCACAGCCTTCAAAGAAACTCGGGCGAACGCCAGTTAACCTTTTCTTTATATTTAAAAATAAAATAAATCTGGATTGAGTAACCTCTCAGCTGTAGTCATTTTACAGTACGTTTGTATTTGACCATTTCCTGTACTCACATTTTTTATATCTGTACAGTGCCACTTTCTGCAGGTGTAGGGTAGTGTGTAATCCTGTACATCTTGCATTGTTCAAACTATTTCAGTGAAACAGATATCATTTAATATTGATATTACTTGAACTAGAGTAAGATAATGAAAAAAAAAAAGGGTCTTTATGATGTGCAAGTCTTGTGCCTTTTATGTATTTGCCTTGTTCCGTGTTGAATGTGTGGAAATGCTGTATTGTGGACTTTTCTGCTGTATAGAATAGAGCTGTCTATATTAAACTAGGTCGTGCACTTCAGATATCTTTACACTACTGAAAATAGCTTGGTTTTGGCAGTATAAACAGAATTTTAAAAATTCTTATGAAGGCCAGACATTTTAGATTTAACATGTTCATAATTATGTTAATTAATGCTCATGTATTAGCTAAACATTCACTGAAAGATAACTAAAGGGACATCATTGCTTGCCTTTCTTTGAAATCAGTGTTGCTCTTGTACATTGTATTAATAGTGTCTGTGATTGATTAGTCCTTGATAATTTGCTTTCAAACTAGGATGAAATATTCCAGTTAACATGTACATATTTTTTCGGTTCCTCGATCTATGATTGTTTCGGAGGCATAATTCACATTTTTGTAAAAATTCTATGCAATTTTGTGGCATGATGTTTCTTCCACTTGTAATTTTATGTGCTTACATTACAGATCCAAAGGACAAATAAAAATTTCTTAACACAAGACGGGTTTTCTCTGTTCCTTGACTCAGGAGCCTCAGTTGACTCAGGAGACCTTACCCTGACCCGTTTGTTCCCGGGAGGGCCACTGCCACGAGAAGTCAGTGAAATCTCCCCGCAGGCTCTTGTGTTCACAGCAAGAACAAGAAATTTCACATGCCTGTGCTTCCACCCCCTGCCCCTCCCAGCAAAATGTGTGTTTGCTGGTACTCTGGAACAATGGGAAACAAAGTGCACAGGAGCCAAGGAACTGGTAAGAAAATTTATCGGTTTACAGGGCAGGCTTTTGTAGAACAGCTGGGGCATGATTTTCAGCCCTACTGATAAACTGCTTCCACAAATTACAGCAGCCTTACTTCTGTTCCACTGCCCCAGCTGCTTCACTAATCATCTATGCAATTATATATGTGCTCTGAAATGTACTTTTGCAGGGCCTTCCACTGAGAGCATCGAAAAATAAATCTATTCCTTTGGCTTTTGACTTTCCTCCCCTGTTTAATTTACGGTGTAAAAAAATTATCTCTGGGAGAAGAGATAAGCAGGTATATTAATCCAGGTACTAAGGGATACACCTGTTAAAACAGTTTCCAAGGCAGCTACAGTCACATTGCTCGCTAGAAGAGGTGTGGGGAAACGGGGTCTGGCACAGGGGTAAGGGTGGGCAGGGAAGGGAGGAACGGAGCTGAAAGCGGAGCCTGTGAATTTGACAGACGGGCCTAAGACTGGGACAGGAACAGGGGAGCGGGGAGGAATCAAAAGAAAAGAAAAATGGGTACGTGTCCTTCCCTGAAGAGGAGCAGCAGGGTGTGAAATCAAGAGCGGGGTTTGTGAAGGCCCCACGAATGAGCGCGATCGTGCCGTGACGCAGGCGAGGGGATGCAGACGGAACCATGGGGCAGGGACACGGCGTGGCAGCAGGAAACTCAGTGGGACAAGGGAGAGATGGGGATGGTAGCACAGAGGGAAAAGCCAGGAGGCCACGGGAAGGGCTGGGAAACAATCCCTGGCTCCCCCAGGGCTCGGTGAGGCAGGGCTCTCACAGCCAGCTGAGCATGACCTTGGCACTTGTGGGACTTGGGCCACGGGAGACTGACTGGGCTGCTGGGGAGGGAGAGCGACAGGTTGGGATGTGGGGAAGAGCTGTTTGGAGGCCGAGCGACAGGTTGGGATGTGGGGAAGAGCTGTTTGGAGGCCGAGCGACAGGTTGGGATGTGGGGAAGAGCTGTTTGGAGGCCGAGCGACAGGTTGGGATGTGGGGAAGAGCTGTTTGGAGGCCAAGTACAGGGAAGTTGGCGTCACAGGGGCCAGGCAGTGGGACCAGAGCTGCTGTGAGAAGCCTGATGGGCTGCTGAGCTTCCAGTGGATTCTGCAAATGCTGCTGGTGATGGCCAGAAAAAAAGCAGTCCCACCACAGGAGCAGACTTCCCCACCACTTCCCCAGTCCCCCACCAGCTGGGGAAGGTGATCAAAGACTTCATTTTGCCCTCAAAGTGTATGCTTTGATAACCAGTGCCAGTGCCAGGTTCTGGCACAAGTAGTTGATCCTCAGCTTCGTGAGCCTTACATGGGTTCCTCCAGCATGATGCAGCTTCCAGGAGAGGGCTGGAGGGTGCCCAGATCCAACTGAGATGTTGGGATTGGTGCTGGGGAGCATCGCTAAGTGGGACAGGAGGAGTCTGGAGTGGGTGAGCAGGCTGAAGGGGTGTGCAACCGGGTCCCAAAAAGCTGGGCCTACACTTGAACCCAAGGAAATAATTTTCAGGTAAGCACCTGTACCTTTGAAAGACATAAATGGAGATTTAAACTCACAAGGACCATATACCATACCCTTGGATTTTGGGAGAGCTCTGTGCACCAGTCACATCTGCCAGCCCTGTCTAAAGCACCCAAGCTCCTGAAGCCACTAAGTTTCAGCTGCAAAATTCAGGTCATCATTTTTTATTGACACAGTGGATTCAATGACTGCACTTGGGTTGTTTGGGTGCTCATTCAAAGACCTCTTTCTCCAGTACCTATGTAGGGAGCGTAACACCCTAATTCTAAAGCCAAATTTCTCTTCTAACCTCAGGCATCAAGGAGTCAGGTAGTTCCTGCCTGTGGTAACATTAATTAGTGGGAAAACAGCTGAGTTCTCTCCTGGATTTAGCCCTGGTCATACACAGAAGACACCAAATGCCAAGTGAGACCAGGGAGTGAATGCCATTTCCCATGGGAAGGAAACAGTTAATTCTGACTTCCCTGCCCAGACATGGAGCATCCCTTAAATTCACACAGCAGGATTCTCTTGGCCATCATCAGACCTAGTCCCTCCTCAGAGTGACGGCCCTGCCCTTGCTCTTCTCTTCTTCAAGGGCTCAGCAGGAGAAAGAAAAGCTTAGCAAAAAAGGCCAGGGCAGGAAATTAAAGCCACGTGCAAAAAGCAGCAGGTGACGGTCGCTAATGAAGTTAAGGAAGCCAACTGCAGAAAGGCATTCTGGAATTAAAAAGGGTCCTCTAAAGAGAAGGTACCTGCTGCCATGCACTGGTAGGAAGGACAGTGGGCAGGAGGAAAGGCTTGTGGGTTGTGCTGTTTCCCCAAGTGTGGGTCCATTTTACATTTTCTCAGTGGAAGGGATTAGAGGCTCAGTTCACAGCTTCCTCAGGATCAGTGTCATGGGGTAGCATGATCAAAAGGAGGATCTGAGGGCAAAAAAACCTGAAGAAATGAAAACTCCCGAGTGTTCAGCCTGCAGACAGTAAAGAAGAAAATATTGGAGGTAACAGATTAACTACTGTATAAGTGATATGATTTTAATGGGCTGGGGTTTGTGGAATGGTTGGGCTGCAAAACATGCTGAGGAGACCATGGTGTGCTGAGAGGTGCTAATCTGGCTGGATCCCCCTCCAGTTAGAGGGGCTTTAACTTGGAAGAGCCAAGCTCTAATTAGGAACAAATTGAAGCCAACCTGATGAATGGGAAGAGAAGAAATTCTAAGCCTGCTGCTGTATCAATGGAGGAAGGCTGGCTAATGAGCAGGAGGGCTTGGCAACTTCCATAGCCCAGAACTGTAATGCAATTAGTGTCACTGAGCTGCTGTGGGATAATTGGCCTGTTCAAATAGGTGATTACAGCCTCTCTAATGGGGATCAAATAATTTAAAAAGAAAAAAGGGGAGTAAATCAAACTCCGTTCTATTCTTGGGAAAGATGAACTTTAGTTGGTAAATGTTGCTGCATTGATCTAATCTATGGATGGCAGGAGCTGTGAGCAGGGCAGATGAGCTGCCTTCAGCTGGGAAAGAGGTTACAGGTGTGAAATACTCTGTCCAGGTTTTGCACCAGCACTTTCAGGAAAATGCAGAGAAAAGCCAGCTCTGTACACTCCCTGGGCTGCAGACCGAGAGCTGAGAGCTGGGCTTCACAGCAAAGCTGCTGGAGGCTGCCAGATGGAAGCCGGAGGAAAGCAAGTTAAAGAGAGACCATAATCTCCTTTATTTTCTTCCTTTCTGCATAAGCACACCAAAGATGATTAATTGTAGGTACTAACAGGAAAGGGGGATGATGCACTGCCTAGGATGGTGCCACATCATGTTACTTGTGCCACGCGGTCCGTGTGGATGCTGCACATCCTTGTGATGGACAAGCCAGACCAGATGATCTCACAGTGTCTCCTGGACTTAAGGGCTGTTGCTCTTAGTATAATGTTCTTTTCTTGGAGGGCTTTTTTTCCCCAGGAGGGCACTTTCACATGTGATCACTCAAGGCTGTGATTCCTTTTGGAAAGGCTTTCTAATATCCTCTTAATTGCCAGGGTCAGTGAAGTAACCCTGAGCACGGTATCTGTGATTCAGCCATATGGGATGTCTCCCAGCAAACGAGTCACCTCTCTCCAAGGGTGTAAATCAGTGAAAGTGTGGCATCCCAGGAGTCCTCAGCAATAAATAAACTCAACCCAAGTGCTCCTGCAGCTCGCCACCAGCTGAGCAGAGCAGATGAACTCCCTGGCTGGAAGCAAACCCAAGCCATAAAGTCTGTGGTAAGATGCATCTCTGACTCATCAGAGCAGCCTGTCAGCCTCAGGGAAACAGCTGGAGACAGACCAGCGAGGAGGAGGCAGTGGCTGCTTGTGCCATGATTCCATCCAAGAGTGCAGTGATCTCAGCAGAGAGCTCAGTTCCTCGAGCTTCTGTCTCCATCTAGGTGAAAAGCCTCTCCCCTTGAGAAGGGGCTTCTAGAAGTAGGAAACAGCCTGTATTCCTTTCAGTAAAGAAATGTTATGCCTTGCTTTCACTTTGCTGCTGCAGAATGCTCCCTCTGAGCATGAAAGCCCGAGACCGTCAGCAGGGCTGTTACCGCCGTGATTTAAGGGCTGGGAGAGACCACAGAGGCCCCTTCGTGCTGCTGCTGCCTTCTGTGCCTTGCTCAGAAACCTGCAGGCCCAGCTGGAGAGGAGGGAAGGGAGAAAGGTCCTTTCCCACTCCCGAGGAGGTATTTTCCTGCACCCGTGGAAGTGCTGGGCGGGCAACAGGTGCCCCCTGGGCAGGGCTGGAGATGGTGCAGAGCTGGTGTGAGTGGCACCGGCTGTCCTGTGTAACCTGGGTTTGTACCATACAGGGATGATGCCATGAAATGCCACTGTGCCCTGGGAACCCAGCCCCTGCTCTCTGCACTGCTGAGAAACCCTGTGCTGCCTCTCTTGTGCTGCAGGACCCAATTTAGCTCAGTGCATTGGAGCGTTCACCAGTGAGCACCTCCTACATCTTGCTGCTATTAAACTCCTTTTATTATATCAGGGGACTAGAAATAGGAAGAAAACACCCTGGTATCGCCTTGATAGCAACAAAATAATTACTCTGCTTTCCCTGAGGAAATCCAGCTTCGGGCGTTTGCTCTCCCTTTGAGCTGCAGCCTTCCATGAAAAGCAACTCTTTTCTATTGCCATAATTTAAAACCCGTATCTGGCTTTACAAATTCCTGTTCCCTCAGCCCAGTGACAGATTGGGGAGCTGTGATAACTTTCTTGTG